ATGTGCTTCATTATGTTACCATGCAACTTGCGAGGACTCTGCATATACCTGCTAGCAAAGCCAATAGAAAAAGGCAAGTCTGGTCGTGTGTGTAACAGATACCTTAAGCACCCTACATTCTTTCTATAACACGTAGAATTCCATGGTAATTAAAGTCGGATTGCAGGTTTCTAAGCCAGCCTCTGCTAGGATCCTTTGTGCATAGCCTTCTTGTTTTATCTCAATTCCATCATTCCCTTGATGAACTTCGATACCAAGGTAATAAGTCAGTTTTCCAAGGTCTGACATATCAAACTTGGTTGCCATTCCTGTCTTGAACTCACTTATAACCTTGAGAGTGTTGCCTGTGACAAACAAATCATCCACATAAATAGCAACTATCAGTAATGATCCTTCCTCTTCTCTGCGATACACTGACCTTTCCTTGGAGCATCTTATGAACCTCATTCCTTTCAGGATTTGATCTAACTTTGTGTTCCAAGCTCGAGGAGCTTGCCTTAGTCCGTGTAAAGCCTTTGAAAGCTTGTATACCTTTTGTTCCTGCCTTTTTATCTCAAATCCTTCAGGCTGTTCAACATAGACGTCTTCTTTTAGTTCTCCATGTAAAAATGCTGTCTTCACGTCTAAGTGATGAATATCCCATCCATGTGATGCTGCCAATGCTATCAACAGTCTTATGGTTTCTAATCTTGCAACAGGTGCAAATATCTCATCAAAGTGAATGCCTGATTCTTGTACATATCCTTTAGCCACAAGTCTCGCCTTATACGTGTTGATAGTACCATCTGCATTCTTCTTGATCTTGAAAACCCACTTGAGGCCAATGATCTTCGCCTCCCTCAGTTTATCAATTAAAAACCATGTCTTGTTTTTGTTGATAGACTTTATCTCTTCTCTACATGCTTGCCTCCACTTTAATGACTCTTTCGCATCCTTAAAGTTCCTTGGCTCATCATATATTAAGAGTAGCAGTCTCTCACACTCTATTGCTGCTTGACAGAAAAAGTCATCAAGATAACCTGGCTTGCGTATTTGATGACTTGATCTTCAAAGCGGTTGCTCTGTATCAGCTTCATTAGGTAGATCTTCCTCTGCATTATGATCAGCTTCGGGATTGTAAGTGTCGCTCGACACTGCTGATGGTGTCGCTCGCTCGACACCTATGTTCGTTAGTATTGCTCGACACCGCTGATGGTGTTGCTCGACACCCGTTGTTTCCTTAAATTTTCCCTTCATGATCATAACCGATTACTGCAGGTCCTTCCCCTGCATCAATAACTTCACCCCATCTCATCTGAAACATCCTTGGATCTCTTACTGATCCATCTCTTGGTTTGTTCCAGTTCCAGCTTGCCTTTTCATCAAAAACCACATCATGGCTTACTACAATTCTCCTTGTATTTGGATTATAGAGTCTATACGCCTTGGATCCTGGCTCAATCCCAAGATGTACGAGCATCTGTGACCTATCATCCAGCTTCTTGAGATTTGCAGCTTCCACCTTTTACTATGCGAGACACCCAAAGACTCTTAAATGCTCTAGACTTGGTTTCTTCTCTCGCAAGCATTCATAAGGAGTCATGTCTTTAAGAGCTCTTGTAGGTACTCTGTTGATTAGATATGTGGCGTGTCGAACTGCTTCTCCCCACAAGTAATTAGGTACCATCATAGCTTTAAGACTGCTTCTAGTCATCTCCATTAGGGTTCGGTTTCTCTTCTCTACAACACCGTTCTGCTGCGGTGTGTAGGGAGCTGTGAGATGCCTCTTGATCCCTTTTGATTCAAAAAACTCATAAAACTCCCTTGAGGTAAACTCTCCTCCTTTGTTGGTTCTAAGGGTCAATACTGTTCTTCCAAGCTCCTTTTCAACTAGCTCCTTGAACACCTTGAACCTCCCAAATGCCTTACTTTTCTCCTTTAACAAGATCGACCACATGTATCTTGTAAAGTCATCTATGATAACAAATATGTATTTGTTACCTGCGATGGTTGGTGGTGAAATCGGACCACACAAGTCTGCGTGAAGAAGTTCCAGTGGTCTTGAAGCTCGGATCATTGATGCTTTTGGAAAGCTTTGTTGAGTCTGTTTCCTACTAAACACGACTTACACAGTCCTTTTTCTTCTCGAATGTTTGGTAGACTGTAAACCATCTCTTGTTTGCCATCTCCAAGTCTTATCCTTTATACTTGTGTTTAGGCATATCGGTTTTCCAATATTCAGGTTGATTTTATAAAGCCTGTTGGATGACCGTATGACCTTCACCAAGAGTCTTCCACTTGAATCATGGAGAGTCAAGTAATTCTGTCTCATTCTGACATCACAGCTGGCTTCGGTGGCTTGTCCTAGACTCAAAATGTTGCTCTTGAGCTCGGGTATATAGTAGATATTTGATACGAGTTTCTGCTCAGCTGTTTTTCTTTGAAACAGAATCGATCCTTTTCCAGCTCTTCCCACGCAAGAGCCATCTCCAAACTTCACTTTGCCCCTTATGTTTTCGTTGAGCTCAGAAAAGAATGCTTTGTTTCCGGTCATGTGATTACTTGCTCCATTATCTAGATACCAAAGTCCTTCTTCTCCTTAATTCATAGTTCTTTGGTATTAGATTTTCTTCATTCAAAAACACCATCTCATGCATATAAAGTGCTTCGTCAGCTTCTTCTGTCTCCACTTTATTTGCTACTGTGTCTTTTGTGGTCATTCAAGACAGACAGATGCAAAGTGTCCGGGTTTATCACACCAATAACAAATCACCTTCGACCGATCCTTCTTCTCCTTTGATTGGTTCTGATTCGTTGATCGTTCTTGTGAGTTGGACCCGCATCCTTTGCCTCGTCCTCTGTTTCATCTGCCTCCTCTACCGCGTCCTCTCCCTCTTGAGCTTGAAAACTTTGTTGATCTGAGTTAGCGTATAGTAGCTTGCCTTGGGTGTCTCCATGATTTTCCTCCTCGAGAATTCTTTCTTCATACGCCTTAAGCCTTCCTATTATGTCTTCAGATCCAAAACCTGCTCGAGAGAGGCGATGATATGAATGAACTTACTCCTAGGCAAACTGTTAAGAAACTTTTTCACAAGTTTCGGTTCTTCAATTGTTTGCCTTAAAGAAGCCGATTTTGAAGCTAGTTCAGATAACTTCCCCGCGAAGTCATCTATCTTGTCCAATTTGTTCATCTTGATTCTCTCGAAATCGGACATTAGGGTTTGAAGCCTCGCTTCCTTGACACGATCGGCTCCTAGATGTCGTGCTTTGATCGCGTCCCATATCCCTTTTGGAGAGTCTTTTTTGCCAACTTGCAGAATAAGAACTTCTAGGACAGATTGAAAGATAAGTTCTGTTGCGATATCATTCTTGTTGGGATCAGTCAAACCAGGTTCGATTGTTTCCCACACTTTATGGATTTGCATAAGGACTCTCATCCTCATAGCCCATACCGTGTAATTTGTCGAGGTTAGCATGGGGCACTGGATAGAAGAAGGAATACTCTCTTCGCATTAGGGTTTGGGACGATGTCTCCCATGGTTAGGTATCGAATGATTTTCGTGATCGATACCCTAGGTCACAAGCTTCTCCTTAAGCTCTGATACCAATTAAAGTATTTAAATCAAGAACACAACTCTGTTTATAAGAACAACTCTCTTATTATGTTTAGAAAATCTCTCAAAACTAAACACCAAAGCATGTGTCTCTCATTGATGCAACTTCATCAATGACTTACATATATATATATATATAGTGTCTTGCACAACTTAGCAAAGGCACTTTTCTTTTTTCTATTAGAACTAGATAACTCCTAATCTAATAAGGAATATTTCCAAAACGCTATCTAATTTACTTAACCTACTTGTTAAGCAACTTGGGCCTTGGCTCATATTGATGCTTATTTAACATCTCGAAATACGTTTTTCATCCGATCAAATATAAAAAATAAGATACATGGACTATTAAGACTTTGATTCATATAAGAAAACAATATAATTTTGAAAAATTTAAACTCAATATCACTTTTTGTTTTTTTATTTACAGATATATCTTGGGCCTTGGCTCATGTCGATGCTTATTTAACATCTCGAAATACGTTTTTCATCTGATCAGATATAAAAAATAAGATACATGGACTATTAAGACTTTGATTCATATAAGAAATCAATATAATTTTGAATAATTTACTCTCAATATCACTTTTTTATTTATTTACATATATATCACTTTTTGCTACTATAACACTTTACATTGGTTGAAAGACAATTATCTCTTTTTTACCGTTTATAATCCTATATATTAAATGAGAATGTAATTTAATGAAAAAATCCGAATTGTTTTAATTTGATTGGCTTAGAAAACCTCCCTTGCTAATGTCAATGATGACGTTTATTCCACGTCAAATGTGACATGGCAAGGTCGTTACCTCTGCGTAATTTCATTGGATGATGATGCTGATGTGTAAATTCTGTCCAAATTTTTTATGATATAAAATAATTAAGAAACGAGAAAATCACAAACGGATAAACACGCGGATCTTTATACCCGACCCGGCCCAATTATCTGTTTTTAAAAACATTATTTGGCCCTATACGTCTGAGAAGTTCATTTCTAAATTTATTGAAATTATTGATTTTTAAAAACTTTTCTGCGTCAGAAAATAGAAATGATTCCAAAAATGAAAGATTACATTAACTATTAGCAGGATTTACCAGAGTTAATGTAACAAAATATACAGAAATCTTAATTTTTCAAAAAGAAACAAGAATTTATGTTACAGTTTAATACTAGACATCAGTTTGGGCAATAAAATCAATTTGAATATATTGATTCTCAAATATTCTCGTAACAATACCTACTTCTACGTACATTCCGAATATCCATATTCTTCATTTCATTCTCTTTCTCCAAATAATTGAATTTCCGCCTAACATCATTTTAAAATTGTTTTCATTCACTTCCTCTCCCTATATATACCACCTATCGTAAACCCTAAAACTCTATCATTCTCATTCACAAAAATGGCTTTAGTCCGCAGACGTTCAGCTGCTATAGTTCAATTTGCCAAATTAGATCAATCAAGTGAAATTCAGAAAGTTAGAGCTACTATATTTTCACTTTGGAAAGTCAAGAATAGGCAGTCTGACTTTGTTATAGAAATGGTATTGGTTGACGAAGAGGTTTGTATGCGATCTTATGTATTTTTCTTATTGTTATTTTAAGTAATCTACAGAATATATAGTAATACTATTTACGTGTGATTCACGGGGCACTAGGATTCACGCTACTGTTGATGAAGAAATCACCGCAAAACATAAAGGGATCCTTATAGAAGGAAAATCACTTTCTATTAATTGTTTCATAATTAAAGAATACTATGGTGATTTTAGGACGACTCCATTACCATACAAGATCGCTTTGTGCAGGACAACCCGTGCTAAGGAGATTAATGATTTTCCATCAGATTTGCCAGAGAAATATTTTTCTGATTTCAGGTCAATCAAGGAAGACAAACTCGACAATGATGTCCTCATCGGTATGTCATCATCTTTATTATGAAATTTATATTATAATAATGTACATATTTATCATTGAATACAAATATTTTTTCTTTAAGATGTCATTGGACAAATTGTCACCGTTGGGAGTATGGAAGTTATAAAAACTAAAGGAAAAAGTGGGATCAGCGAGAAATTGATGATAACACTTCGGGATACCAAGTAAGTGGTTATGATATCATACCAATATAAACATAACAATATTTTTAAAAAATTTAACACTAATATGTTTACTGATGAAGCGATGTCCAACTGAAATGTACACTATGGGGACAATATGCTAAAGCAACTGTTGAGTACACTGATAAACATATGGCTGCTATTGTTGTGTGTGTAATGCGATTTGTCTGTATAAAAGAGTACAAAGGTTAGATCACTATATCCCCTATTCATATATATACAGTTTTTAGAGATTTAGGGTTTGGATTAGTTTGTTAATTATTCCTTTTTAATGTTTTCCTAGTATAGGGGACATTTCAATATCAAATGCTTTCAACTCCACCAAGATTCTGTTTGATCGTGAAAGACTTCAGAGAAAAGTATGTTATGTGACAATTTAATATTATTTTAAAATTCTAGAATCTATATAATTATAAGATTACGTTTTTGTAGGTTGCCAAAAAACAATCAAATGATTGTGCATGCTGAACAGAGTTATTCGACTTCTTGGGGTGGTGCTATTGACTACCGTGAAGAATTCTTAGGTGTGAAAAATAGGAGGCGGACGATAGCTGGAATCCGTGATAAAAAAGTGGTATGAGCTATATATTTTGAAAATGGTATAAATATATTTACATTTAACTATATACATATTAATGGTTTTGTTATAGCCTGGCAAGATTGTAACATGCGTTACGGTCAAAGACATTGACACTTCAAAGCTGTGGTATTATTGGGCATGCAAACCTTGCAACATCAAAGTTTTAGAGCATGGAATTATGTCTGATGATGAAGATTACGATAAGAGGATTCCTCTTTTCAGTTGCAAGAATTGTGGTGATATTTATTCATATAATACCATCGTCGCAAGGTAATACAATGATTTGTCCCATAAAGTAAAGAAAACATTACTTATCTCATTAAGTATTTCTTAGGTAATATATTTAGCACATATAGCAGAATTAGAAATATTGACTTTCTCTGATTGACTGTATTAATGTTCGCCTTATTTTATTACATTGATTCGTCTCATCATACATTTATTCCGGCACTACATTACATGTTTATGATTGTAACGTTTAAATAACTCATTCTTTTATTATATTTCAAATAATTTAGGTACTACATTGTATTATTTGTAACTGATGATTCAGACGTCGATGTCCGCTTCTTGATGTTTGATGACACTGCTCAAAGGTTGTTAGGTCATTCAGCTGAGTCTATAATGGAACAAAATGATGAAGTTAGTTGTGTAAAAATTTTGTACATTATGCAATATTTACATTTTCTTAAATAATATTAATCCATTATATATAATGACGCGCAGGATTTACCAAGAGGGCTCCCTGATGGCTTGACAAAGCTCCTAACTATGAGGATGCTTTTCAAAATAATACTTTCAGAAGAACATACAAAAGGAAGCCAGTCTCCGTATGTAGTAGAACTATGGTCTCAAGATGTCGACATTATGACTGAGTGGGATTCTCGATCAGAGGTAATATATGATAAATTTTTACAAAATTTTAAATCTCGCTTTTTTCATCGTTTAGTCAAATTAAAACATAAAGTATGTACCTATATCTCCAGCAACCGTTGATGCTTATGAGTTCAGACGAACTTGAGAATCCATCGTCTGGATCTTCACTCACTCCTTCTTCTAAGAAGGTAATTAAGAGTCCCGACTATTTGGATGAAGGTGAAAAATCTGTTAACAAAAAGCGACCGAAGCAAGAGATCCCAATGAAGTAATGAAGAAGCAAGACATCGTAATGAACTTATTGCAGAAATGCATTGCTGGTGATTGATTATTGCTTTTGATATTTGTAACCAATTTGTCCCATGGGTGGATAACGTTTGAACTCTATTCTTTATTTTGTTTGGGGTATTTGTGGAACCTTTTGGCGTATTTGATTTAATCGTGGAACTTTAATGTTGCCCTAGATTGTTTTTCCCTAATTATTTTTTTTGCACTTTTAATTTGTGATTTTTTATTTTCAACCAACTGTCATAAATTTACACGAGAGTTCCAATTAAGACGATATTAAAACAGCAACCGTTTTACTCCATCACAAAGAAAACTATTCATTTCCTTATACTCTTTCATATTCCATCTTCACAAAATTATTAAAACAAATAATGTCTCCTTGTGAAAGACTTTCCGATCTTCAGATTTCAAACGGTGGATATCGTATTTGTGTTCAGACACTAAAAGATTATTATGATTATACTCTCTTCGATCGACCTAATCGGATGTTAGTTCTTGCGGATGAATTTGTAAGTTTTTCAAGTTTGAAAAGATTTGCCGTTTATATGTTTTAGGAATGTTTTCCTAAATTATTTATTTTTATAAACCGTGTAGGGCAATCACATCTTGTCTACTATTCAATATGATATTATGGACAAATTCGAGTATGAATTGGTTGAAGGAGATTGGTTTTTTCTTGGTAATTTTGAAGTTACTGACAGAGTGATTCGTCCAAGTATATTATCAAACAACTATCATATACATTTCCTTGAGGATACCATTGTTGAGAAAACCGATCCGAAGTCTTCAAGAGGAATATATTTTTTTTGTAATTTCATAAATATTTTATATAGATTTATTCATACAGATAGATATCTTGGTATGTTTCTTACAACTTTTTTTAAAAAAATCGTTTATCTAAGGAACTCCAACATGTATTTAAAGGCACACCTTTATTGTTGCAGTTGATCTTCTCGGCGTTGTCACATTTGTTCAGAAACTTCAGTTAGGATTCCTATGTCCGATACATCGGACCAGTGGCGGAGCCAGCAATTTCTTTGATTGGGGGCATACAAAGGTATATATAATTTTATAAGAGGGGGCATTAACATTGAACACTACTAAATTACACCAATTTTTTAAAATAGGTTGGGGGCGAATGACCCCATGCTAATGCATGTGGCTCCGCCACTGCATCGGACACACCCACGGAACGTCCACTTATTCGTTTTAAAATTCAAGATTTCAGGTCTGTACAACTTATTCTGAGAACATCTGTTATTTTTATATTTTTTATTTTGAAGCCAATTTTAAAGTATAATAATAATGTTCTAAATGATTTAAATATACAGTGGAAAAACTTTGAAATGTATTGCTTGTGATAACTTGGCAAGAAAATTTGAAGATCTTTGGACGAATCGTGAAAGGTCTTCTAGGCATATTATTGTATTGCGATTTTTCTCTTTCACTAAATGGAGAGGTAACTATCTACCTCATTATTTGATATTTTAAATTAATTACAAGTTCTAGAAATTACAATACTAGGGCTTTGCTTTTTGGTCCAAAAGGCTATAATTTCAGTGTAGGAATACACTAATAGAAAAATATGTTGTACTCTTTAAAAAACGATGCATACAAGAAAAACATAGATTTATCGGCTAGGTGGTTGGTCTGCACGCATGTGCGGATCAACCACTTAGCCGCATAAGTCAAATTGAAAGTGTTACAATTTAGAAATATTTCTACAAACGTTGATGGATTTTTTTTTTGATCGGTTTAAAGCAATAAGAAGCAATACAAATGGTTTTTAATACCTAAACACCAAAAAATGCAACAACCATATATCAACAAACATAGTGTTTGCAGGTGGTAACGAAAAATCTCATAACCGCACATGCATGTACACCAACCATACATAGTTGTCATTGCATCAATATATGTTGTAATATATACCAAAATTATAGCATACCAAATATATGACAATTTCATTAAAACATGTTATGCCCGCACATGCGTGTGGGCCAGTATCCTAGTTTATTGATTAAAGATAAAACAAATAAAAAATATTTTTCTCTCTCTTCTCGACATTACTATTACTATTTGCTTTCTTCTTTTTTATTTTTTTCTCTTTCCTTTCTTTTTCCAAACTTATATATCAGTTATATCTATTTTATGTCTATATATTTTGATACTCATTTCATAATAGTTTACTTATATATATAATTCGCATAAATTATGTAAATGATATGTAATTGTGTACATGTGTATCATATTGTTCTGAAGAAAAAGATAAAAGAGAGACTTTTTATTTTTCCTTTTATTTTATTTTTAGCTAATAAATTACACAGGATAGAAGAAAATAATTGTCTTTCAACCAATGTAAAAAGGTGATAAAGTGTTAGAGTAGCAAAAATTAATATATTGTGTAAATAAAAATCAAAAAGTGATCTTGAGTGTAACAACTCTATTTTATATTATTATTTCAAAATATTTTAATGGATATGAATTTCCAAAAACCACATATATATCTGCATAACTGCATATAAAATTCTGATTCCTTGAAATTTCATAAACCATTTCACAATATCCGATCCACATCTAATTGTAGCCGTCGCATCGCTTTTGACATAAAAATCTTGACCAGAGTCCACGTCAGTCCGCATATCCACTAGCTCACCGGTCCACAACACGCAACCCGATCCACCATTTCCAATATCCGTATTAGCAAACCCGGTACAATTACAATCTTTATCACATCTCTCCTTACATTCCTTTAACCCGATTGTCTTGTCCACAATCACTCTACTTGTCTCAGGCAACTTCATCCTGCTCAACCGCAAAAACCCTTGTCCTCCGCAGCTCAGCGGCGACCTCCTCACACAACCATCATACGTCTCTCCCGAGGCCCCTGACGTTGGATATCTTGGTTCAAAACCACGGATACAATTACAAATCGGTGACGTTTTCATGTCACAATAACTATAAGGACCACATGTCATGTACAAATCGCACTCATCTTGCGGTATAAACCAAGAGATGTTCTGTTCCTCCACTGTCGAAATCTGTTGTAATTACCCATCTGAAGTCAGTGTAAATCTCGTGTTGATGCTACGGTTTGCGACTTTGAAAGTGTACGTTACTTCCTCTCTGTTCTCTATGAAACTATTAACAACGTAGCTCCAATCTTGCATCTTTGGTATACCATTAAACCTGATTCCATTCCACGGACCGGTTCGGTACACTTTGAAATCTTGCTTCCAAAGATAAAACTCAGGTAACCCTTGAGTTTCGAGTTTGAACGACAAATCTCCGCTTGATGGATCATTTGGGCTCTTCCAAGATTTGAGGAACTTGTCGTGTCCTGTTTTGAGATCCAAACCAATTTTCATCTCCGGGAGCAAAGTATCCACCGGAAAATCAAAGCTTTGCCACAAGAACCGGTTTGGATCTTTAGTTGTGGATTCTCTGAGCACAAAGTTTCCGTTTGCAAGAAGCTCTGCCACGACAGGAGATTTCACAGCTTTTGTCAGATTCGTTGACCAGACAGGAGTATCAGATCGATCGAGGAGGATGAGGTTAGCATCGTTAGAGACTTTTAAGGTTCCAATGGAGTTGGAAAGAGGATTGTCTCTGTTGGCAACCGAAACATAGCTTCTTTTAGAGATTGTCTTGTACCAAATCCCGAGATACCAACGATCATCATCGCCATCTCGAGAGCTGCTTTGTGTTGTGGTTTTGAAGAAACCAAGCTCAAAGACATCACCGGGAGACACATGGTTTGGTTGCTTGATATTGTAAGAGTTTCTGTAGATGACAAAGTATTGATCGAGAATGCATGACGAAACAGAACTAAGACAATGAAAAAGAAGAAAGTGTAAGAGTGGTGATAGTTTGGTATTACACCTCTCATCTCTCTTCACCACTTAATAATCTCATCCTTTATTTATAGAAGTCCATTTTTGCTACCTAAAGAGCATTGTTTTGATTTTAAACTGCATATTTTGGTTTTGTTTTAATCCTAGATTAATAAATTGTTTTCAGCAGACAAGCAAAATGTTATGTCCACAATTTTGTGACTTTTTTAGCACCTCATTAAATATATTTTCAAGAGATGACTATCATTAGTCAACAATAACTTTACAACGTGAAATTAGTTTCTCATGCAACATAACATGTAGTATGTTTTTCAACAAGTATATTTATTCATCCATGATCCTCGTCCCATGAAAGAAATGCTATGGTGCTCGTATATGCATTCTTCGGTACGTTCGAAGAGCTTCAATTATGACACAATCCTCAAAGTTTTGTAATTTTTAGTTAGATCAGTTATAAATTTGTTTATACTTCGGTAAAATTTGTTTCTAGTTATAACCGAAAAAATGAAGTCAATAAAATTGGTTTATAGTTAACTGATCCTTCCGCCATTACTTTACGTCTACTCACACCCTTTCTCTTAATCAAGTTCTAGTTTTACTAATTCATGATTCTACATTTCATAAAACTATGCTCCGCAAATCCATATTCATCTCTGCTTATGCAAGGTAATCTCCATGTCCTAATCTTTCTCAATATACATAATATGTTGTCAACAAGGACGTGTCAAACTAGCACAAATAAGAACACTATCTACTCACAATATGTTGATTTTAGGAGATTTGCCAACAATTATTGGGCATAGAAATACCATTGAGCAACTATACAATCATCTCATTTGCAAGAAACTAGAGACGACCATCCTCTCTATCTATGAGTTTGCAATATCCCCTCTTTATTTTTTTGGATAATCTGTTGGAAATTTCTAGATTTCTGACGAAATTTCACTACAAGAAAAACACCATTTTACAACGGCCAAAACCGTCGTAAATTCGTTGTAAAGGCCTTATTACAACGAAGTAGCGATGGTTTAGAAATCGTCGTAAATTCATCGTTGTAAACGACATTTCGTCGTAAAATCGTCCTACAATCTAGAACGGTTATAAATCGTCGTAACATCGACGTAATATGAACTTTTCGTAAAAGCGTCGTAATGGTTACAACAACTTTACATCGATTTGCCTCGATTTGGTTTTCAGCGTAACCGTCGTAAAGTTATCGTTAAAAATCGACGTAGGTTCGTCGTATAATAGACGACGTATATTTTGTCGTAGTTCGATCGTAATAGTTTTTTTTTTCCTTTTTGTCGTAAAACCATCGTAAAAAACCGTCGTATATTAGTCGTAAAATAGTCGTATATTATACGACGAATATTTGGTTGTAATTGGACTGTACGAATTACGATGATTTTACGACGATTTATTATATAAATAATAAATATATTAGAACGATTATACGACGTTTTTTATTCAATGAAATAAAAAAATATTAATTTAATTTAATCCGAATTAAATATTAATTAAAAAAGAAATAAATTAAAATTAAAATTTCTTTAAAATTCAAAATAAAAAAAATTATAATAATTACAAAAAAACCTGTCAAAGATCTAACTCTAAACTAATGTCGTCTATCCCTACATCGTCCTGCTCCGGATCCCCATCTTGCTCCACAGATTCCTTGCCGGCTCTTCGATTGGAGGCTTCCGGCGCCTGATCCCCAGCTCTAGGAGGATCAACTCAGAGAGATCGGAACATCTCTGCGTCCGTCTGTACCAGTGGTTGTCTCCTAGAGGATGAAGAAGATGCTCTGACGACTCCAGCTGCCCGTAATCTGTCCAACTGCACTTGGAGCAACGGGTTGTCGGCCCCCATAATCTCGAAGAGACCGTACAACTGGTCGATCTTCATCTCATACTGCGTCTGCATCTGATGGAGCTCCTGGTGGATAACAACTGGATCCTCTGCCCGGACATGACTAGTCGCCGTAGCGACTGGGGTATCACGGATGGATCCATCCCTAAAACCCGGTCCTTCTTCCGAGGGGCAACCTGAAAAATGTAAAAAACTTGTGTAAAACAGTACAATATAAAGTTAAAATTAAACTAAATAGAAAAAAGAAAGTAAATTAAACTTAGCTCTTCGAAGATCTGGTCCATCTTCGCCACCATCAAAGTCGGGGTGAACTGGACTGAGCTACCTCCGGGAGACGTCGGAGGCACGTGCTGAGTGAGCTACGTCTGCCGCTCCTCGATTTGGGCACAGACGGCGTTGTAGGTCGCCTCCGCCCGATCCGTGAATTCGCCGTTCTTCTTCTTATGGGTCTCGGCGAAGAACTTTTTAATTTATTTAATTAAAAAAAGAAATAAATTAAAATTAAAATTTATTTAAAATTCAAAATAAAAAAATTTATAATAATTACAAAAAATCTATCAAAGATCTAACTCTAAACTAATGTCGTCTATCCCCGCATCATCCTGCTCCGGATCCCCATCTTGCTCCACAGGTTCCTTGCCGGCTCTTCGGTTGGAGGATTCCGGCGCCTGATCTCCGGCTCTAGGAGGATCAACCCCGAGAGACCGGAACATCTCTTCATCCGTCTGCACCGGTGGTTGCCTCCTAGAGGATGAAGAAGATGCCCCGACGACTCCAGCTGCCCGTAATCTGTCCAACTGCTCATGGAGCAACGGGTTGTCGGCCCCCATAATCTCGAAAAGACCGTACAACTGGTCGATCTTGGTCTCATACTGCATCGGCATATGATGGAGCTCCTGGCGGATAACGACTGGATCCTCTGCCCGGTCATGACCAGTCGCCATAGCGACTAGGGTATCACAGATGGATCCCATCTTTAAAACCCGGCCTTTCTTCCGAGGGGCAACCTGAGAAAATGTAACTTGTGTAAAAAACGGAAGACGCCAGAGGCGCCTACTGAGTGAGCTGCGTCTGCCGCTCCTCGATCCGCGCACAGATGGCGTTGTAGATCTCCTCCGCCCGAGGATCCATCAATTCACCGTTATTTTTCTTATGGATCTCAGCGAAGACCTTCGTCATCGGAGGAAGTTCTCCCCGATTTCTTCGACCTATAAAAACTTACCATCATAAGTCGTATCGCGGCGAAAAGAATCTGGTCGGAAGTGTGCAGGACGTTCTTTGGATTTTCCGCATCGTCAGTAGTGTTCCTGAAAAATATATTAATATATTAGATTTGTAATTAAACCTATATAATATTATAAATTAAACACATTTTAATTTAATTTACAAAAATACCTGGATATGGAACATTTGGCGACAATAGTTTGGTTGTGCAGGGTCAACCAGAAATGCACTAAACCCTCCCAGACGGTATCGGCCATTGGCGCCGGCTTGGCCTTGTTGCCATCAACCTCCCACTTCAGCTTCCAGTCGGAAACGGTGTTGTTGAGCCGGTACTTGACCTTCTCTTTGAAGGCCGCCTTCACACGCTTGTGTGCGGAAATTTGCCAATGCCAGTTTTGCTGAAAAAAGAGTTAATAATTATTGTAAAAAATTAAAAATAATAATATAAATCGTAATTTTAAATAACTTACCGTGAAACATTTGAACCAAGTGTCAATAGTTGCCTGATCCAGCTTCTTCCAGCTGGTATGGGGTTGTACGAAGAATCCCTTGATGATGTTGAAAACGTTACGACAGACTGCGTTGTCGGTCGTAAACCTAGTCAGTAAAACAAAAATTTGGTTAGATATTTCAATTAATTAGAAATATAATTTTTTTTAATAAAAATTAGTAAAAAAATAAAATTCGTACCAAAATGTCTCCAGGGCTCAATCCGGATCGAGTTTCTTCATACTCCCACGACCCGGTTGTCGTAGAAGATCCTCAACCGTAAATTGGGCATACGGTTCAGGCTGTATCGGGGCTGGTGCTGGTGCTGCTTGTTCAGCTGGTGGTGGTGGAGGCGGTGCAGGCTGTGGTACAACGAACTGTTGCGAAAATGTTCGTTGTGTTCCCGAGGACTCCGGGATGGTGGACCCCGTAGCTGAGGCGGACGGAGCAGTAGCGTCCGGATCAACCATCTCCCTATAGTGGAATTAAAGAACGGGTTAGAAATATTCATGTATCAGGCCACAAATATGGAGAGAACGAAAGATAGCAGGAAGATGTTTTGTCCTTGTTTGAAATGCAAGAATACAAGGTATATACTAACTAAAACCGTGTGGACGCATTTATTAAATAGAGGGTTTATGCCGCAATATTTGTTTTGGTATCTACATGGAGAAGGATATGGCAGTAATACTCATGGGAATGCTGGTAGTAGTAGTATATCAAAGTCATGTTGATTTTGATGAATCGAAATGGTCATCAGCCTAATCAGTATCAATTTGATCAAGGTCTAGATCATGATAGGATGCATGAGATGGTGACTGATGCATTTCATGAAACGCATACTGGTAATGCTGTTGAGGAACCTAATGTTAATGGCAAATGATTTTATGATTTGTTAAACAATGCTAATCAGCCAATCTACGAAGGATGTAGAGAAGGTCTGTCTAAATTATCGTTGGCAGCTAGGATGATGTCAATTAAAACAGATCATAACTTGGCTGAGGTTTGCATGGATGATTAGGCTGATCTTCTGAAAGAGTATCTACCGGAGGATAACTTGACAGCGGCAACATACTATGAAATACAGAAGTTGATTTTTAGTCTTGGTCTACCTTCTGAGATGATAGATATATGTGTTGACGATTGTATGATTTTTTGGAAAGATGATAATCAGCCGGAGGAATGTCGATTTTGCCAAAAACCAAGATACAGGCCGCAAACTGGTGGGCGTAAAAGGATACTGTACCAACGTATGTGGTATCTCTCTATAACTGATAGGTTAAAACGGCTTTATCAATTTGAAAGGACAGCTGCATCAATGAGATGGCATGCAGAACATACACAAGTAGATGGAGAAGTTGTTCATCCATCAAATGCAAAGGCATGGAAATACTTCAATACGGTATACCCAGATTTTGCTAAGTTCAAATGGAATGTCTACCTTGGTCTGTGC